GTCAGGAAGCTGAGTTAGTGTGTGCAGGGTGGCAGAAGTGGGAGAGGGGGCTGAGGGGGGGCAGGCAGAGAGTTCAGCATCCTCACGGCCTGATGGACGGAGCTGTTCCACAGTCTGCTGGTCCTGGAACTGAGGCTACGCAGTCTCCGCCCTAATGGCAGCAGGTTGAAGAAGCAGTGTAGCGGGTGGTCAAGATCTCCCACCCAGCAGAGGGCTTTACTTCTGAGGCGAGAGCTGTGGAGGTCCTGAAGGCAGGGGAGAGAGGTGCCAATGATCTTCTCAGCTGTCCTCACGATCCGCTGGAGGGATTTGCGGCAGGATGCTTTCAGAGATTAAAGTCGTATGTGCTTGAAAACTCAGGTCTGAGATTTTCCACAGCAAATCATCAGTTTCAGGCAGTAAAAATGTGTACAAAACCTAAAAGTGAATGTTAATCCAGACTCAGCTACAGAAAGAAGGCTGTTACCAAGTCGAGATAAAAACAACAAGTACAATTGCTGCATATGCCGCAACCAGCAACACAATGAGCCTTTGTTGGGCCTACAACAGAACCTCTGTTCTTCAATGAATCGACTAATAGTTTTAGATGGTACAACACTAGACAGCAAACGCTTGACTGAAATGTAGGGTGGACACAGAGCTGTGCGCTCTGAGAAGACAGGATCATATTTCTCAAATCCAACAAAAAAACCCTTAAAGCAGAGTTAAAGACCAGCTCCATGGAGGCAAATCAAACTGACCTGAACATCAGCATCGAAGGAGAAGCTGCACAAGCATCGCAGCTGCTGGAGATCATTAACGGGGACACACTCATCGCTCCTGAGAGGACGGAGGAGCTCGAGATGAGAGATGTTTGGTCGGTGGAGATGGGAGACGACTCGGTGTTCTACAGTGACGAAGAGCAAGCTCGTCAGGACAGAGAAGCTGTCTCGTTGTGCGCTTTTAGTGCCAACGAGTGCAAACGTCTTGTCAACAGCGTGGCCGATTACGAAGCTGAGAACAATCCAAGAGAAGAAATAACTTACAGAGAGGATGTCCTTTGGACTGAAGAAGCAAACACAAAGCTCCAGAATGAAGTAAGACATGTGCCCAACCGTGAAAAACCAACTTGTGAACAGTTTCTGCCACCAGACTTCACCGCTCTAAATATGCAAACACAATATGTGCAACATGAATCACCAGCTAAATGTAAGTATGCCTAAATGATTCAAAATCTTACTTCTAACCTACAAAGCCCTCAACAACCTAGCTCCATCTTATATTACTGATCATATTGTCCTATTTTTTCCCTAACAGAGCACTTCACTCTCAGACTGCAGGCTTACTTGCGGTTCCTAGAGTTTCCAAAAGCAGACTAGGAGGAAGATCTTTCAGTTATGAGGCTCCTCTCTGGTGGAACCAACTTCCAGTTTCTGTCCACGAGGCTGAAACATGGTCCAGTTTATGACTGGGCTTAAGATTTTTCTTTTTGATAAATCCTATAGTTAGGGTTGGATTGTTATGCTGCTATAGGTTTAGACTACTGGAGGACAAACTGAAGGGTTGTAATTAGTTTATTTCTATCTTAACACGTGATTCTCAACCTGCCATTGTGTATCTGTTCCTCTCAAACCCAGGCGGTCGAAGCAGACGGCCACTTGTCCCGAGTCTGTTTCTGCACTAGCATCTTCTTCATGAGGGAGTTTTTCCTTTCCACTGTCGCCTTCATGCTTACTCAAGATGAGAGTTCTGTGATGAAGTTAAACTCAAAGCAGTCTGCTTCTCTGAAAATTAATGTTATTAACTTATTTTTTTATGTGTATGAATGTTTCTGTACAGAGATGGCTTCTGTTGTGACTTGGTGCTATAGGAATAAATTGAATGTTCAGTAAAATAGATTAACAAAAAAATAACTTATTTTTGCTGTTCTTCTTAGCAAATCACCAAAAAGAAGGCGTGACGAAAGAAGCCAGATCACGCCCAGATCCATATAATGAAGAGAGTTATTCAAAGATGGAGAAAACAGACGCCCAAGGAGAGTTCTGATGCTCAACTCCAGAAATCGAACGACAAATAGTTGGAGACTGACCTGGAAGCCAAGTGCAATTTTCAAGTAAATCCCGAGCGTCCTCAAAACCCAAACTAAGAAACCAGACCTCAGCTGAATCTAATAAATCTGCCTGCAGCGCCTTCCACCACCTCTCCTCCTCTAAATACAGCAGCCGGTGTCGTACCAGGATCTAGAGGCAACACCCGGCAGAAGATAGAGTTTGAGATCATGTTAAAGAATCGGTGACGAGCTGCTTGTCAAACCCACGGTATATGAACAATGAACTTTAAATGAAGTGCACCTTGAAGAGCTTTTGTCGAAAGATAATAATGTGCCTGTTCTAGAAAGACTTTTGAACAGCTTCAGTCTGGAGAAACAAAGATCAGTTTTAATCAAAATCACGACGAGGCCTTTACCAAAATAAATTTCTGCCGCCTTAAAACAACTACAATCTCAAACATTTTAGAGCTTCATGTGAAAGTTTACAAACCTTTACTGTCAGTTTTGCATTTCATGGTTGTTTCAGCACGGTGGCGCAGTTGGTAGAGCTGTTGCCTCTCAGCAAGAAGATCGCCAGATCAAATCTGGCCGGGGGCCTTTCAGGGTGGAGTTTGCATGTTCTCTCCGTGCATGCGTGGGTTTTCTCCGGGTACTCCGGTTTCCTCCCACAGATGCATGTTAGGTTGATTGGCCTGGGTGTGACATTTGTCTTATGTGTCCCTGTGATGGACTTGCTGCAACCTGTCCACGGTGTACCCCGCCTCTCACAGCCATAGCTGGATATGGGCACCAGTGACCACGGCGATCCAAAAAGGAAGAAGCGGGTAAAACATAATGGATGACTGTTTCAGCAGAACAAAGTGCACTCCTGCCCCACGTTCCTACAAATGCTGTTTGTATTTGCAGATGATACCACACACATTAAATACCTGTGTAATGTGAAACTGACTGCAGTGAATACGTTCATAAAACAGATTTTACTTTTTCACTTTGGGTCGTTTAATCCAGCAGCAATCCACTTTGGTCTCTTACTGGTCATTAGCTCATCAATCTGGTCAGAATTTATATTTCTTCAAACTGAGGTTGCTCGAAGGCTTATTTACAACAGGGAAGACAAGTTCTTCACAAACTTTCCACAAAAGCCCATTTCAAATCATCTTTACCACTTCAGTTCACAGCCGTATTAGTTCTCAAATATATTTGACATTTCGATTGAAAGTATTTCATGCAACTTGCTGCGTATAAGTATTTATAAAAGCTAATTAAATATGTTTATTTCATAACATTAACATATTTTTGTGTAGTACCAGTATCTGTTATGTCAAGGCAGGTGAAGACGTGAAAATAAAATTCATCATTCCATTATGTTTTGTAAGCCATAAAACTACTAGTATTTTAAGCATTAAATACTTAATGTTAAAAATGACCTGTGTGCAGAGAGTAAAATAATAAAGAAATCAACACATTTAAACAGTTTTTATTTTTTTCTTGCATAAGATACCTCCCCATCAATCTGACTTTAAAAGTTTTGATAACTAAAACCAGAGCAGGCTTCTGGAGTGTTTTGAAACACTTCCCTCTAGTGTTCGACAAAAAAAAAAAAGATGCAATATTTTACAACGCGCCCCCCAAAAAAGCAGCATAAAGCACTTTACTCAATGAAAACATGGAAAAAATAAAAAAATAAGTCTCTCGTCATTCAGTCCCGGTAGAGGAAACTTGAGGCATTGTCAACAATAAAACTGAGATCCTCCCCCAACAGAAATAAATTTAAATCCCAGTTAAATTAAAACAATCTTAGGCATTGAGAAATTAGTTTTCCTCTTGCACATGATCCCACACCATGTGAACAACCTCACACATGTCCCTGCCACCAAAGCACTTTGGTTCCCCTCCTGTTGGGAGGCTGCGCTGTAAGGCACTGGGTGTTTGTAATAGTGCACGTTTAAAGCTCATTCCAGTCTCGTTACTAGACGGAGTAATGTGTGAACTGCCACTTCTGGAAAATGTTGTTGGGTTCACACGGGCTGAGACGAACGGTGACACCGCGAGGTTCAGCCTCCAGGCACATGTGGTTGCTAAACTCCGCAATGAGGTGCTCCGCCTTGACACACACACACACACAACAGGAAGCAGATCCATTAACATTTAGCTCCTCAACATGAATTTCACTGGATTTCATAAATTACAGAAATGTGAAAGCAAAACAAGGAAAGCAGAAGATCCAAAGGCGTCTTACTAGAGCTACGTTGGAGATTTTGTGCAACCAGCGGAGTTCACGTTTGGCGTTGTCACATGGCAGTAAAGCAAAGCCGTGCTCCTTGCTTTGTGGTTCAACACACAGGCCCTGCTGGCGAATGTGCCTCATCCAGGTGTAATTAAAGTGCTGATTCTGAAAGCCAGCGAACAGGAGACGTAATTATGCTGCAAATCATGAACACTACAGGAGACTCAAATGTTTCAGAGCTGTGGTTTGAATCCATAAAGAATCTCGTGTGAGCCTCAGTCTTGAGATCCACCCTCGTTTATCGTGGCTTAGAGCCAGACTGTGTTTGTACTGGCCTGAAAAGACGCCTGGATTCTCTTTTTGCTGCATAATTACTTCTGTCAGAAACACAAACTTGCAGATATTCCACTTTTTTTCACCCCAACAGAAAAAAAAACCCTTCCAAAAAATAAATACAGAACAATTGCACAGCATTTCCTGTTACCCATTTGCTGCAAAACATGAAATCAAACATATCTTACCTGTTTGTTTAGATTGCAAACTTCAAAGGACAATGAACCTTTCTGCAGTGCGAGACATTTTCTTAGGCCACGATTGAAGACCTTAAAACAATTAAAAAAAGGTTAATTTAAAAAGAGAGAGCAAGGTAAAACAACATTGCTGCAAAGGTATTTTGTTACTTCAATAAATGTTGGCAAAAGGCCGTGAAAGACTAAAGAGAAAGTTTTTATTTTAAAAAAAGTAATTAGCATTCTGGTGAAAAGCATTAAAATATTGTGTTTGAACTGCCAACTTAAAGAAGTGTAACAATATTTACAATGTGCACAATATTGTAGTGATTTTCAACGGATAAAAGAAGCTGTCTGCCATAACTCAGATATTTGTTCCTCAGACCAAAAGCAATGTGTTCAACATATTGGTACTTCCTCCAGTTATTTAACTGTCAACAATGGTGTACCACAAGGCTCAGTCTTAAGATGCACTGTCTTTACAATCTACATAAGTAATGCATGTCGGAACATTCCTGACGCATCCTTGCATTTATTTGCCAACAACACAGTTGTTTATTGTCGAGCTAAAGCAGTTGCTTAGGTTTTCCAGCTTTTACAGTCTGCATTCAACATCATCCAGTTAGATTTGTTCCGCCTCAAACTGGTGCTAAATGCTGATAAAACCAAAAGGGATGTTGTTTTCAAACAGAAAGCTGGTATCAACAGTCCTTCCTCCTATCTTATCTAAGAATGCTGTTCCTATTTAGTTTATCGATTCTTACAAATACTTGGGAATCTTGGTTGATGCACATCTCTCTTTTAAGCCTCATGTCAAAAACTTGATAAACTGAAATTAAAATTGAGTTTTTTTTTTCAGAAATAGATCTTGCTGAACTCTGAACACTAGGAAACACCTTGTACTGTAACTGCTACATTGACTACGGTGACATTATTTACATGAACGCTCCTGCAAGCACCCTGCAGATGTTGGATGCTGTCTATCATGTTGCGCTAAGATTCATAACTGGCTGTAACCATCGTACCCACCACTGCACCCTGTACTCGTTGGTAACTTCATGCAGGCTCTCACACTGGTACATTTTCATCTTTAAATCACTCCTTGGTCTGCTGCCTTCATACATCTCCTCCTACATGTCACGTCGTTAGTGCAGCTACAGCGTGCGCTCTCAAGGCATTAATACATGCAGCGTCCCCTCAGTGTGGACTGAATTTGGCAAAAGGGCCTTTTCTTACTCTGCTCCTTTAACCTGGAACACCTTGCAAAAAAATGTGAAGCTGTTGATTTTGACAATTAAGTTCAACGCAAAAATCAACGCAGACATGTTCCTGGTTTTAGTATTTTACCCCGTTTCATAATGTAGCTTGTTTTTATTTTGCTTTAGAACACTACTTTTATTTACTTTTCATTTTATTTGCATTTTATGGCTGTTTCTTGTTGTTTGTTCCTTATCTGTGGTTTTGTTTAAAACAGGTCTCTCTTGAAAACAAGTCCTCATGACTCAGTGAGACTAAGCTGTATAAAGGTTGAATGAATAACAAATCCACCTACCAGGCCCTCAGCTTTGACTAAAGGAGTACTGAAGTCTGGATACACGTTCTCCAGGTACCACTTGAAGCTCTTGCATTTGAGCCTCTTCCTCAGCTCAATCTGCTCGGTGAGGTTGCCAATATCCATGACCTTTTTGTCCAGCAGGTGGTGGTACCCGTGGCCATAGAAAATGTCTTTGTACTCATCCAGCCAAACTTCAGCCACCCTTGCCAGGTTACGCTCCACCGTCTTCTGCCTGTCTTTTGGGAATTTATAAGGATTCTGCCCTCGGAAAATGTGTCCAACCCGGGAGCAGGGGATAATCTCGATTTCCCCGCCACACATCCAGATCTGTTTAAATGGCAGCATGTTTGGTGCCATGTGGGAAATAAATAAATAAATCAGTCAAGTGTTTGGAAAGCTCTACCGAGTTACACACCCAAAAAATATACCTTAAATGAAATCTCCATGTTCTCTCCACCCCACACATCTAGACCTGGATCATAGGTACCAAGCTCAAAGAAGTACTTTTTATCAATTGAAAAAAGCCCCCCAGCCATTACTGGACACCTGTAAGATGAACAAAACAAGGACAATATAGGTCAAATGGGAGTAATGGTTATAAAGTAAGAAGCTGTGAAAGATGATGGTGTGAGCAGTACTTGATTGGATCTGAAATGGTCATGTTGTTCTTCTTAATAACATCCTCTGGTACTGAGCTCCAGCTAAACACCAAAGGCCATTTGAAGATACCTCTTTGGAAGTTGTCAACAAGCATATAACTGAAGATAGACAAAGAAAAAGGTTACAACATTATAATGACGTTTATTGGTTTTTGTTAATAGGTAATCGCTTTATTGTTACTTCACATGTGGTTTAATTCAGTCACCTCATGTCTTTGTCGCTGATGACTTCAATAACTGGACAAGGCACCTTCCTGCGATCCAAATACACCCTCTCTAGGAGTGGCTCCAGCCAGCCCACATTACATTCAATATGGGAGTCAAGAAAGGTAAGGACTTCACCTGCAGTGGAAGAAAGCAAACATACTGCTGCAGTTACTCTAATATTAACATAAAGTGATTTACACCAAAACTATAGTAACATAAAAACTAAAACACCCGAGTTCAGTGAGCAATGCATATAATGACTGATGTGATCAAGTCTGTCTGAATTCAACATCATTTTTGTTTTATGTCCGAATGTTTAATTGGATTTTACGCATTTTATTTTATCCAAGTTTCAGTACATTTGAGAAAACAAAGAATAGTTGTTCACATTTAGACATGAACTTTACACTAAGACTGAATACTTTGTAAAGATTAAATGCTCTTCACAGTTTGGCCCATCCTAAAAAGAAGTACCGTATTTGCTGCCGTACACGTCGCACCACCCTATAAGTCGCATGAGTCCAAATATGTCTAATAAAGTGGACAAAAACATAAATACGTTGCTTCGTTGTATACATCGCATCTATTATGCATTCCTGCTGATGTGTTGCGTTTGTAATGTGTCACTGCTGACCACCCGGATCGATTGGCTGCCAAATGGCGGCCGCTGGAGCATGCACGAGAGGAATTTAACAAGATTAACACTAAAAACAATTATTTGTTTGCTCGACATTATAGCAAAGGTGTGTCCCAGTTTAACTTTTCTTTTAAAAATGCACTTTAAAGGTCAAATCAGCTGCATTTCGCCTGGGCAGCGCGGCAAAATGCAGCTGATTTGACGTTTAGTCCAGGAGTTCCGGAGCGAGACAAACATGGCTTTGTATGGCAAACCAAGTGTCTCATTAATAACCACTTGCACCAATTAATCAGACACTTGACTTGCCATATTTCTTAAGAGCCCTCTAGCAGCTGAAAATGGTAGTGTTCAATATTTTCCATGTCAGAATGAATGAAATCGTCCAATCTCAACCAAACATTGGGTTATAAATATGGGGGGAAAAACACAAGTTGCTTCGCCGTATAAGACGCAGGGCATGCTAATGTATGCAAAAAGGTGTGACTTATACAGCGAAAAGTACGGTACAAAAAATGTTTTATCCATTATTTAGTCTATGTAATTTTACACGTTCACACTACCTCATGTTTGAAACCGTATGATTTACGTCGTACATTGTTTCAGGGAAACATTAGTCAACGAGAACTCCTAAACCATGCTTACCTTTGGCAACTGCAGCTCCTGCCAGCCTGGCCCGGATCAGGCCCTGGCGCTCCTTCAGACGAATGATCCGCACTTTGGGAAACTGCGACATGTACTTATCCAGTGGCTCCTTCAGATAGTCTGCCAGCGTAAAAACAAAACCCCGTGTTAAAAAATAAAAACACCCTACTATAATTTAACACTGAAGCAAAATTTGCACAATTTATCAGGAATAAAATGATAAAATACTGCTGATAACAACTTCGAACTTTTTTTTTTGGTACTTTACAGGAGCTAAAACAACCAAAAACAATTTTCTTTGGCAAAACACAAACTATTTGCTGACTTTCATCAATTTGAAGATTTGTTTATTTCATCGCACTGAATAATAAATGCCTTTGGGCTTTGGAGACAACTAAAACTGAGGGCATTTCCCTTGAACTAAAGTTCAACTACCTGAGACATTGAACAAGAACACCTTAACTCATAGCATTTAGCATGTTTTAATACCTTTAGTGCTGAAATCATCCACCAGGATGATCTCTTTGAGGAGGTGTGGTGGCGATCTGTTGAGCACACTGTGCACAGAGCGCAGGAGCGTGGACCACACCTCATCCACAAAACAGAAAATCACGCTGGTGGAAGGTAAGTCGTCGTGGACCAGATTCTGCGCACAGCTTGAAACAAAACAAAAACAATTCAGGCGTTCAGTCAGTGTGAGAAGTAACGCACAACGCAGGACTCACCTTTCAGGCCTGGTGTCGGGAATGGCCCGGTCCACTGGGATCTGGTCACTAAGGTAGACGTTAAAATGGCCTTCATCCCACCTCTTCTTCACCACTGCATCGTCGCTCTTGGGAAGAAGCACCGCCTGGCCAAACTGGCCAACTGCTTTAGGATCTCTGGGAGCTTGAGTCATGTCCAGGTGGAGCACTTTGTGGACGCCTGCTGTTCTGCCAGCGGTGGAGTTGATCCTAGTGTTTTCTTTTGCTCTGAGGTGGACTATCGGCTTCAGACGCTCCTTCTTTACGTTTACATTAGTCCTCTCAGACATCCCGACCCGTTTCGCCTCCATGTTTTCCTCTTTTCTGTTTACATTCTTGTTGGGATTTTGATGAGCGATTGTTTGAGCAGGGTGTGCCTCTTCTACATGAAGCTGGCTCGCTTTTGTTTGATTCTTGGCAGACGCTCCCTTAACCTTCTGATCAGCCTTTGAGTCTATTCCGTCAACGGGATTTTGTGCAAAACGTGCGGTTTTAATCAAAAGGTTTTGGTTTATCTGAACACCTGGTGGACGATGGGTTTTATGAACCACTGCTTCGCTTAGATCCAGGTTCACCGCTTCTTTTTTAGGACGGACGTCCTGCTTTGTAGGGTTATCTCCATTATTACGAGAGTTGGCGTGGACACTTTTATTGATGACTTGTTTCTGGTTAGAGTTCACCTCATGCTCTTTGCCTCCACGTCTGTAAGCTTGAGCTAGTTTGTTTGATTTTTGTTTTCTCCAAGCATGGGTCACAGCCTGCTCCACCTTCTGCACTGGGTGCTTGAACCCCTCCATCACCAGCTGGGTGACCCTGGACTGCTGCTTGATCATCATCTCCTTCTCTCGGATCACTCGCTCCTTCAGCAGCTGGCTGTTCACGTCGCTTATGGACATGCGCAGAGCAGCCATGTCAAACAGGAGCCAGATGACGGAGGCGACAAACACGAAGGCGAGGACCCTCCCACTCCCCCTCAGGTATCTCCTAACGTTCACCATTTTCATGTTGACAAAGAAAAACTAAACCTACACGCGTCAAAACTTTACACTGAAAGGAGCATTTCAACGTTGCCGCCAAACTTTTCTCGTCCTAGAAGAAGTTAGCTGCCTGCGTGGCATGCTAGCAGCATTTCATGCTAGCCGTAGTTGTCAGTTTAACACCCAGCACCTAAAGGAGAGACAATATTCATACCGTCCCGCTCGGATCACGTCCAGCCGTCCGGAACCATCATGTCGGCGTCAAGGAATTCAACAAAGTCGTTAACAGAAGCTCACGTGAAGCGGCGACAGCGACGTGTTTCCAAACTGCTGTTGAACAGAATCACAGCGACAGACTTTTACTTTGTCGGTAATCTCATTGGACGGAGGGAAGCGAACAGGATACTGTGGAACAACCGGAAGAGCGAAGAAGCAAACCGGAAGCAGCGTGTCGCACCTTCAATATAAAGCGAAGCGTCTCGTTGACGCAGAGGGCAACAAAAACACAACGTGTGGTAAATAAGAAAAAAAAAAACAAAGTATAATACAATACTTGATTTAAATGTTCAAAACATAAAAAAACGAGAGTACATAATTTATTGAAAATATAGATAAAATAAATTATACACATACTGTATATGATTGAAATATTGAGAACAAAAAAAAATCAAGATAAACATAATTATCAGCCTCAACCTGGAGAAGGATAATTAACATTTACTCATCCTCAGTCTGTCTGCGACAGGCTGTAATTCAATTCAAGGTGGTGCACTAGATGCACTGGTCCAAAGACAGGTTGTCCAAGATCAAAGCCAACCTGGACCCTGCATGTAACCATTGTAAACAAACTCCAGCTACCCTCCTGCATACATTCTGGACCCGTCCCAAACTGCAGACCTTTTGACAATCTATGTTTGACACTTTCTCTGAGAGATGTGGAAAAACTGTACACTCATCACCATTCATCTCACTGTTTGGGGTGGTCCCTGTGGATATGTCCTTCAGCAAGTATGAGAAGGATGCGATTGCTTTTGTCTCTCTCCTGGCCAGAAGACTTGTTATGTGCAATTGACAGGACCCACAACCTTAGCATATGTAGATTGGATAGGAGAGGTGATGTATCAAATCCATCCATCCATCCATCCATTAGCTTTACCTGCTTATTCCATTTTGGGTCACGGGGTCGCTGGTGCCCATGTCCAGCAATCACTGTGCGAGGGGCGGGGTACACCCTGGACGGGTCGCAAGTCCATCACAGGGCCACATAGAGACAAACGAGACAAACAACCATTCAACTGTCTCACTCACACCTAGGGACAATTTAGAGTTATCAATCAGACTAACATGCATGTTTTTGGTCTGTGGGAGGAAACCGGAGTACCCGGAGAAAACCCACGCATGCACGGAGAGAACATGCAAACTCCACCCAGAAAGGCCCCTGGACTGGGGTTTGAACCAAGGACCTGCTCGCTGAGAGGCAGCAGCTCTACCAGTTGCCCATGTATCAAATCCATCTAGAAAAAATAAGATATCCTGAAGGGTTCCGTTAAAAGATTTTGGGATATGTGGCAGCCTTTTATGTTGTATGTGGAAAACTTGTCAATGCCTGTGTAATTAATTTTATATATGTGTGACTGTTCCGGTGTGGGAGGATTTTTTATTTTATGTTGTTTGTGTTTTATATGTTAAAAATGAAAAATTAATAAAAATACTTTGGTAAAAAAATGTAATTTGGAAAATAGCAAAATGTCTAATTGAGGTTGTTGTTTTTTTTGCACATAATGTTCATCAAATGTTCATTTAACTTTTTCACTTTGTCTGTGTTTAATACATTTTTATTTCTTCTGGCCTTCAGAAACTTGTTTCCAAAAAAGCTTGTTTTAATAAATAATTTACAAAAATGCAAAACACACATTTCTAACATAATTTTTAGTATACAAACAAAATATTTTGTAAAGGACAATATTGCTTTTCAAAAACTGTACCCTTTTTACCAGCAATGTCTCAAAAATATTTGGCACAAGGGAATCTTGCCTTTTGGGTTAATTAGTAACAAGAAGATCTAAGAGCATCTTGTGCTCCAGCATCAACGTGTGGCATGCCTTCTGCTGCAGAAAGAAAAGCTTCACAGAGAGTGGTGAAGGCTGCACAGAAGTCTGTTGGAGTCAGTCTCCCCACCATCACAGACATTTACACCTCTAGATGCAGGAAGAGAGCCACCTGCATCATGAAGTACCTCACTCACCCAGCACACACACTTTTTGACCTGCTCCCCTCAGGAAGGAGGTTAAGGAGCATTAAATGCAGAACCACTAGACTGAGGAACAGCTTTTACCCTGAGGATGTTAGGCTCATGAATAACCAAGATTATCACTGTGAAAAATCCCATCACGTTGCTGCTGATCTGTTTCACGTTGCTGCTGATCTGTTTCACGCTGCTGCTGATCTGTTTCACGTTGCTGCTGATCTGTTTCACGTTGCTGCTGATCTGTTTCACGTTGCTGTGTTCATTCGTGCTCATCTGCTCACACAGACTCATGTTCATGCTGCTGTTCGACATAATGTTTTTATGCTATTAGTGCTTAGTGTATTATTTAGTTGATGCTTTACTTAGTTCATATCTTAGATCTTATTACTGTTTTTTATTTATTTTTATTTTTACATTTTATTGTTGGATGTAACTGGGACCCTGCGTACAAAATGTCGTTCCACCACATGTACCACATGAGATGCGAATGACAAATAAATCTCTCTGACTCTGAGTATAGGAATTTGGAGGTTTTACTCTCAGTCCACAAAAATAATCTCTGCCAAGCAAAGAAAAATAAAACATGTTTTCTCATAAGTAAGAAATACATTCACCTTTAAAGAGACAAGTTACACGAATCGAAAAAGAATACTGAGTTTGTATTTTTTTTTTTATTAGTGTTTTTAAGGTTGGAATTTAAAAAATAAAACTTTTTTGACCAAACTGCATTGCCATCGTCTTCAAAAGTAAAGTTGCAGTGAAAAGGACCAAAAGAAAAACATGATTAGTTTAGCTTGACTGAGCATCTTATTTTGAAAGTTCTTGCCGGAAGTGCTTTGTGACCTAAAGCTGCAGATGCTGAAAGGTTCAACTGTAAGAAAGGTTTTTAGTTAATTGTCTCCTCCTTTTTTGTTCAGAACATTTAAGTCTGTCATTAACATAGTTGAGTCTATTATTAAAAAGGATTACTGAAATATCTTACACTAAACAGGTTTCTCTTGTAAATGAGTCATCGAGGCTCAATGAGATTAACCTGTAATAAAGACTGAATGAATTATCATCCTCAGAGGACTAACCTGCACAACCTGCACACTCTAAAATGTAGACTAACCTGACTAACAATCATTAATGCCATGAATGAGCCACCATCCTAAGAGTACTGTGAATAGCAAAGCTGTGTTTAAAATATTTTCAGTGGTAGTAACACTGGTTGTCCACAGGATCCACCCAGAATACATTTTTTGCATCACCTATTCATAAATTAATTAACAAGTTAATTAGTTATCATAAGCTAAACTGTGATGTAAAAAACACAGACAAAAAGGTTTAAGCACATTACAGTCTTGGGTCCATGCAGTGATGTCTTTATTTGACCTGCTTGTGATAAAAGGCCCAAAACTGTGAGGAAATTTGATTTAAATGATCTCAAGTGTGTATTCGGTTGTTCTCATCATCTGTAGCATCACATCTTAAACTGGAGCCTTCAACCAGGTTTGGGCTTAGTCAGTTTATGGTAAATTAACGTATTATGTTGTGCTTCTGTTGTTTTTATTTTTATTTTTTTTAATGAAAAGTGGTACTTAGTGAGCTAAGGTTATCTGTGGTGGTACTTGCTATAAAAAGTTTGAGAACCACTATTTTACCTGCTCATTTCCCAGAAATTAGAACTTTTGTCTAGGTTGGAATATTCATTCAACCTTTATTTATACAGATTAATGCCACTGAGCCTCTACACAGCCACAACAATATACTATCATTGAGATGCAAAACATAACTAAAAGAATGAAAAAAAATATATAAATGGAAGTTTAAATACAAAAAAACATTAGCTTACAAATAAAAAATCACTAGAAGAAACCTCACAACACACACACACACAAAATGAAGACACGCCTACGAAAATACAATTGTTTAACTAAGTGAAAAGTAAAGAAGTTTTTGTAAGTTTCTACTATTACAATTATATATATTTTTTCAAATATAAAATGTTTTTTTACTTTAAGTTTTTCCTCAGTTTAATTAATTTTTTTCTTGTAGTGACGGGAATGAAGTTTTTTGAAAGGGATCTGGATCATTTGAGCCAACTTAAAAATAATTGCTGGCTGTTTATGAGCTGAGCCAGATGACCAACATTCAAGAAATACAGACACATTTATAATCAGTGTTTATTTTTTTACACAGTTTGATGATATAGTTTGAAGAAATATGCCTGTCCTGACAGCAATTAAAGATTCCAACATAATCTGCATTTACATAAAAACAGAGACACATATCACTGCAAATTTAAAACTAAATTAAAATACTTAAATTGTTGGAGATGTTTCTGAGGTTTTGGGTATTTTAATGATTACTCTGTAAATTTGAGAATGCATCTAGAGTTTCACTAAACATCTTGTGTGAAAAATATAGGTTACACAGTACCCAGGAAATACATTTAATATATTCCCTAATGAACATTTAGGTGACATCACCAGAATCCTAAACACTGCAGCGTGCACATCCAGTCACATTTGTAAAACCTGTGTTACTGCAGCCATTAGGCAGTGATTAGTGGAGGCAACGACAGGTTTTCCTCTTCATCAGCTGGCCTCTCCTGGGAGAACCAGTGGCTCCATCCAGCCTATTAATAGTCCCCAACATGAGGAGGGAGGGGAGTTGTACCTCCCATGGTGCCTGCCCTTAACCACACTACACACACTTTCATTAGTGTGTTAGCTAAATGATTGGCCTCAGGATAGCCCCCAAGCCCTGCGAGGCACGTGCAAGCTTCCTGGTCAATTTATTCATTTATTCACTGATTTCTACTTTTACACTCTTTATGGTAAAAAAAAAAGATCGATTCGCTTATTTTTGACCAAACTGAATGGGAGACGTGTTCAACACCAGTAACAGTAGCAACCAGTCGTTTCACAGCGTTGCAGCGGAACAACCAAAACACAAACAACTTTCAGTGTTA